AAATCGCACAGTTGTGCGCACCATGTGTGGACGATGTGCGGACGGTGTGTGAACGATGTATGCACGGTGTGCGCACGCTATTTTTGGTGCGTTGTGCGGTCACACAACTGTATATACACCTATATATATGCTACATAGTTCTATTACCGTAACCTAACAATGATATACCCCCATATATTTATACTACATAGGTTTATAACAGAGATCTAAAAATAATACACACACATATATTTATATTAAATGTACAATGTTATATTACAATGACCCAACAATGATATATACATAGATATGTATGTTACATAGTTATGTTACAGTGACCCGACAATGATATATACACAGATATGTATGCTACATAGTTCTATTACAGTGACCCAACAATGATATACACACATATATTTATATTACAATGTTATATTATAGTGACCAAACAATAATAAACACAGATATGTATGCTACATAGTTCTATTGCAGTGACCCAACAATGATATACACACATATATTTATATTACAATGTTATATTATAGTGACCAAACAATAATCCACCCAGATATGTATGCTACATAGTTCTATTACAGTGACCCAACAATGATATACAGACATTCATTTATGTTATAGAGTTTTATTACAGCGACCCATCAATGATATACACACATGCATTTATGCTACATAATTCTATTACAGCGACCCAACAATGATATACATAGAGATAACACAACGAGTAGTTGTTTAATATGGTATTTATTTCACTCTCGTTAGTTAATTTTCAAAAGTTACAGAAAGACACTCGCTAAAATTCGTGTCTTTTGTGACTTTGGAAAACTAACTAACGAGAGTGAAATAAATATCATATTAAACAACCGCGAGTAGTGGTTACAGTGGTTACAGTGTCTTATTTACGTATGATCATTCCATTCCAACAACTTTAATTCAAACACAAAATAATGTATCGTTGTCTGACTATCAGGACGTATACTAATAGTTCTTCATCAACTTTCTTTAACAAATTTGAGACGAGTGTTTAATCCACACGTACATTCCTGTATTCTGATTCCATTACAATAACGTATGTTTGAATCATACTAAGTATTCTTTATTGACATTTCATTGACTTTATCGTGTTACATCAAAGTAATCATCCGTTAATCTATAGACATGTTATTACAAATATATATTTCATTGTTTTAGTTTTAAACCTTGCAAATATTTCAGCAACCATCTAATTTGAATAGGACTGTTAATTTTTTCCACATTTTATATAGTATTTTCAAATTTTTCACTGCAAAAATAATGCTACAGATCTCGTCGTTCACTTCCCGTATGACAAATACCGTTTAATTTTGCTAATGAAAGCAATTGAACTGTTTGTGTATGCCTCATATTGCAATTACACAACCAAGTGTTGATTCCATATAGATTTTCGCTGAAACTTTAGTTTTTACTTAATTCAACACTATTCAAAGAAAATGTCTTTCATTCTAAAGTATGAATCTGAGCTTGTTATCGTTGGGTTAAGTAGGCATTGGCAAATATGAGAGAAGCTGACGGCACCTGGGATTCTCTACGAAAATAATCAATTCTAATTTCAAAACAAAACCACACTCAATTTCTAAATCTCTAGGGTTGTAGGTCGTTTAAGGACCTTGAACTCAGTACTTATATTAGACGCGCGAATAAACCTATTTACATTTTGAAAATCTTATTTCCATACGCCTGTCAAAGAGCAACTTTCGTTAAAGCTTTATAAGATAACTGTGTTCTAGTAAGTATATTAATAGTGATATGGAAGGGAACACCAAACAGAACGTAAATATATCATAATGACATATCATACATCATAAATCCATACACGTCTGAACTCTTTTATTTATATATCCATGATACATGTCCCCATCACTGTTAATGGAGGACACTTCTGAAACAAGTCTAATATGATATCATAATTGTGTACATTCTGCTATTTGATTAACATTCGTTAATCTAAAGGCGGTTTCTATACGATTATCATCAGTGATCCAATGTAGATCCTAATGCAAGCTTCTACGTAATAATTATATTACAATGACATAGGATATCCGCAAACTTCAAATGTATAATTAAAAAAGAACAGTTGGTTTATTACAAATCCTAATATAGGTTTCTGTATAATTATTCTATTACAATGACCCTTTGCACGTGCCATTGACGGGTTTCCGCACAATAGTAAATTACAAACACTTACGGTTTTTCTGATAATTATTTTACATTTACCCTCCGTAAATCTCAATACAGGTTTCTATACCATGACCAAACGTACATCCACAGGCAGGTTTCCATATTTTTTTGTTATTACAATGACCTTTGACTGGTTTTGTGTTTTATTACAACAATTGATCGTGAACACACACACAGGTTTCAGTATCATAGATATGTTGCAATGACCGACAACAATTTACAGTTTGTTAAACAGCCAGGGTCCTCGATTTCTGCACGAGTTCCCAGGAGTCCTTTTACGATACGCATACAGTGGGGTTAAGAATGTTTTACCTGGATTTCTGCAATGCTCCCCTTAATAGAAGACAAGGAAGAAACCATGACCGTTTCCTCGGTTGGGGAGGGGGTCATTGGTCACCTCTAACGAGCATCATGGAGTGGGATAGAGCAGGCCCATGCTTTCCCCAAAGAAATGTTTCAATAGAATGATCTTACTCCAATAATACATAGTTAATCCATAGACAGGTTGATGTGACATTTCTATAAAAATTACATGCAAATAGTCTTGAGACAGGTATTTTTGTTCAAAATCCTAACAGGTAAACTTATAAATAACAGTTAATACTAAAATGACCCATATAAAATCTACATGCAAGCTTATATATAAGTATTATATCATTTGATCCTCCGACAATATACAAACACTTTTTATTTTACATTGCTATTACAACTATATTTCATGTATGCATTTCTTAGTAATATTTATACTACAATGATATATAAAATGTCCTTTTTAAATTGTAAAAGAGTCTTTGCATACATATCAAGAAAACAGTCCGCGATTAAGACATTTTATTTTATATCAATACATGTATACTTAATTGACTCTTAACAACAAAGAAATAACTAAGCACATATATCTATCAAGCTAAATAGATCTTTCGAAAGAGAAATAAAAAATAGATTATTTCCATATCATGTGAGTTAAGACAAAAATGACCAGACTACAATGGTGATATGTTATAAAGAAAAGCCATCGAGCTGTGACATAATGCTTTATCAAAGTGTGAGACAGGTTTACTACCGTGAATGATCAATACATGCCCGCGTCCTACTACAGGTGCGATGTAGTTTGCAATATGCCACAAACTATAAACGATGAAGATGTAAGAAAAGACGAGACAGATGACACCGTAAACAAGTAGGTTATATAGGTCATGCTGATCTGTTAGTATCTTAACACTCCATCATTATATTGGCTACACTTCTACTTGTGCATTATTAATGTAATTTTTTGTAGTAGAATAATAAAACACCGTAATTTCTTTTAAAAATCGGCTTTTTCTTCTGAAATACTGACCTCATTGACTTACAAACTTGATACGAATATTCCTTATGAGATCCCTAACAAGTTACTTTTTTGTACCAATCCGGACATCAAGTTGAGCGTCCTGACCTCTGATTGGCTGAGAGGTTTTCGACTTCTTTTCGGGGACAACCAAAGTTGGTACAAATGTCCTTAATTCTTTTGTGTCGATCCGAAGTTATAAACTAGCGGCCCTAGCTCTTGTTTGCAAAGGGTATTTTCGACTAATTTTCAAATTTGGAACGGGTATTCTTTATGAGGTCTAAACATGTGTTGTTACTTTTCGTGCGGCAGTTCAAGATAGCTACTGTGGCCGTTGATTCACAGAGATATCTTGTTGAATTTAACTACATTGTAATGTGAGCTTTGTCATCTGATAATACCTATCAACACTTTGCCATACCTCAACAATACAGCTTTTGAAAGGCAAATTACTAGGTAATAGAATGCGTTTGGAATAATGCCAGTAAATTCCGAAAGGCACTATTGGCATGGTAGTAAACTTATCGACCTCTCTAATTATTTAATTAACATTATTATAAGGTCTCTATACCGGTACCTACCTTATTCTTTTTTCATTGTTGTTATCATCTTTCAGCAATATTTCAGCATCTGTCATCGCTATGTGCGATACATATGTATAGTTAATTCATTAGATACTGTATAAAACCTTACTGTGTCGACTTACAATTGACATTACCACATGTTTCTTACGCCATAGAACAAAACAAATACATCATTAAATTTATGTATACAATTATTTAATAGACAATTCATATCTTTTCCGCATTTTATAAATATTACGAGAGAATTTTGGTATCAGCAAAACGCATTACACCCGGACGCTGTGCTACCGCATATTCCCAAAACAAGAATTAAATATTATAATTAAATTACATTATAGTTATAACGAATGCATCTCAATAGCAATTAACGCAGAAATTACCAAAATATCGAATTAATTTACTTTGTACAATGTAATCTTTCTAAATTGGCCCAGATCTAATCCGAATCCAGGTATATATCGATTTTTTGGGGCCCCCGGGTTTTCTATCTTACAATGTATCATAGAACGTTAAACAGTCTGTATATCATAAAAACACTGGCTAGGTTTGATAATATATATAGCATGTATGCAAAAAAAAATACGCTTTATGTATATATTAAGCTTCCATATACATTATGTTTTAATCAAAATTATAAATCCGATCGTATAAGATTGGAATGATGATTCTAAATAAGAAAAATTATGTAATACATATTTTCTAGATTTAACATTGATGTATTTGATAGCTGTTTGTTTAATCTTAATTCTTATGCAAAAATATCTCTGTTTTTACTTAACAAATATGAATATATCAGTTCATTTCATTACTACTGTCTTTAATATGTTGATAAGTATAAAATCAGCATCTGGATAAAGATGAAATTTCTTCTGATTTAGGACCCAATAGAATAGTAGCAGCTGATGAGCCTTTCAACATGGAAGTCCCCGAAACTACAGCCTCCTCAACTCCTGCAACCGTGAATACCTCTCCTACCCCAGTACCGGTAAAAGCCCCTCCAGCTGAAGTGTGCGAGGTGGGATGGGTAGGATTTGAACGCGACTGCTATTTCCTCAGCAGTGACCAACTAACGTGGCACTCAGCACTAGTATGTATATATATTTGCTGTATTTATCATGACTTTCTACATTCTTATAAACGTAATGAAATTCACCGGTGTGGAAACTTTTTATAAAACATAAATGACATGCCCATTTCAGAATAAAAATTGATAAAAAGGAAAATAAAAATAATTGTCGGATATTTTAAATGAAATTCAGGTAAGTTGATGATTTTTGTTAGTTATTACTTATTTCATTTTTGTAGCATTATGAGAAATCTTTTTGTCTCAATTCTCTCCCAATACTTGAAATTTAAAATACATATAGATCACAGGCGTCTTTTGTACTCAAACAGTAATAATTTGTAAAACTTCTTCTCGAAATTCACGACCCATGTCTAGAAGTTTTCTTTTTTTCAAATTACCTGTAATAAAAGCTTGTTCACTAGTTTAATCATTTTCAGTGAAATGGAAACAAATTCAAATGTCTCTATAAATTATTCAATGAAAAGCATAATGAATAGAGATATTATGTTTTTTGCAATTTGATTTAGTTGACAATTATTTGGGAGACCTATCTCTGTTGTCTCAATTTCCCTATTGCTCTTCTAGTTAAGTAAAATAGGTAAAATACTATATGTTATTTATGTGTTTACATATAATACAGGTGTACATCATTATATTGTTTATTCCATATTTATTTCATTCAAAGCATATATATAAATTGAGTGTGAATTGTTAGTGCTTCTGATAAATATTTCCATTAAATATTGCTCTGTTACAGACACAATGCCATAATATGGACGCTCATTTAGCCAGGATATACACGACCGCGGAAAACAAGTTCATACAAAAAACAGCAAGAAATAGAAAAGGTAAATCTTTTTAAACCCCTTGAATCTGAAAAAGTATATTTTACATAAAAAATTGGCAGTATTTATCATGCAAAAATATGGCATCACGAAAATGTAGATACATGTAAGTATTTAACAAAATATACCCTGTAGTATAGTGATACGTTCACTGGTTATACGGTATATAAACAAATTACATTAAGTGAGATATATTAGTGTGTAAATAAAAACAGTACATGGTATATATACTGTATGAATAATAAAGATAGTATGTATAGGATATAAATAATTGCTTGGCATATTATATATACCGTATGAATACACTACTGTCAAAGATTCATATTTCTAATAAATATGAAGTACTTAACCAAACATATACATAAACACTAACGTTTTACGTGTTATGATAAAATGAGTGTGATAAAATTTTGCATAATTGGCATTTTTTTTTATATATTTATTGCTCTATATATGGTGTAAGAGGAACACAAAATACATATACTATTGCATCAATCCAAGCGAAAAATAAGATAAAACCAGCAGACCAAAGAAATAGGTCATACATTATTAAAAATGATAGCATTTTTGGAAAAGATCTAGAAATGTTCATTTCAAAGGACTGATAGCTCTAGAATCTGATTGCTTATCTATAAATAACTTAAAATATATAACTAAGTGTACAGTTTCCAATACAAAATTGGTATAAAGTAATATATTTTGTGTACTGTCTGTCAATGTAAGAATGTAATCTAAGAAATTTGTTATAATTGACGACATAAATAGACTATATAGGAAAAATAATTTATATTTGGACTTTCATCTGTGCAAACATAATAGCAACGTCATGTTTACCTTACTATCAATCAGCGGTATACACATTAAGATAAAATGCTTTCAAATTGAAATATCTGTTGCAATGTCATCTAAAAAGACATAACGTTTTGTTAGCTAAATAAAAAAGGATACAAATAAGAAAAACACTAGACAATGAACCTAACTTCACCATAAAAACGATATCCCCATTTTTATGATTTGCATTAATCAATTATTAAAGGTGTATGTTCTAATATTATCACATATGTCCATAAAATGATACAGACATACAGGTCAGTCATACGTTCTAAACTATCAGAAAAAACTGTCTCAAAATGATAGGAAAAACAAAACAAAACAAGCGTGTTTGATCAGCCGACCAATGTCATATTTCATCTATTTTTTAAGTCAGTATTTTACCTAAATTTAATATACAGGTTAATGACCGTATTATGACCTAGTAATGTAGTGTTTGATTAGGGAGATAAACAGATAATTAACAACTACGATCCGTCTTGTTATCCTCGAAGCCAGTACAAACGGCCAGGTGTGAGTTCAGCCACCTCTAGTAACAGTTTAACCCATCATCACGAACAAAATTGTCCGGACTATTTCAATATAATACAGCATAATGATATTTCCAAACATTTTCTTCAGGTTGGTTAGTATGCATTATGAAAAGATTCTTGTAACACAACCAATAAGTTTGTCAACGTGACGTTTCGATGACTAGAACTGTATGTATGTACTCTATCACCTTCATCAGACAAATTACCAGTGAAGCGTACGTACACAAAGGTGTAAAATATGTACGAGTTGTCCACAAATCGCAGTGAGCCGGTTCTAAATCGAGATGAGGGGGTTCATAGATACTCGCACATCTATGACCAAGTATTAAACAAAGCGTAGCTGAATCGAGTCATTTAGGTACATATATAACAAGCAATTGTAGATACGCTTACAGCGTACCTCTGTACGTACGCTTCAATGGTCATTTGTCTGATGAATGTAGCAGAGTACATACCGTACTAGTCATCGAAACGTCATATTGGTTGTGTTACAAGAATCTTTTCTTAACAGCATAATGATGTAAACGAAATGTTGTGCCCGACAAGATCACGAGTATTTCTGTACTCTCACAGTGTGGTTGTGGTTATTTTCTCTTTTCTAATGGGTGCATTCGGAGCATTAGATGTATTGTTAAATCTGTAGCCTGAGTTATAACGGGACACTTGATCACTGGAACAGCATTCCCCTTGGGAGATTATTAAAGAAAATACATCAACATGATTTACACACAAAAATAAATCTGTTGCTTAAGCTGAGAATGGAAACACATTCTCTCTTTGGTAAACATTTCAGCTCAACAATGACATCTAGCCCATTTGTTTATACCACTATACGACTTTGAAAAATATGAACATGTTTTATTAACGTCCTTAAATATCTTGTTATGTCTTGTCTTTTGAGTTCGTTGTTTGTTAATTTTGCAATAAGTTCTATAATTAAATTTATTTAATTAAAGATACAAGGTGGAATACTCTGCTGGTTGACTTTTTAGTCCTCGATATTTGCTGTAACCCTGTCGGCCACCGTAATCTATTTACAGTAGTGGACTTTTAAGTCCTCGAGATTTGCTGTAACCCTGTCGGTCACCGTAATCTATTTACAGTAGTGGACTTTTTAGTCCTCGAGATTTGCTGTAACCCTGTCGGCCACCGTAATCTATTTACAGTAGTGGCATGGTGCACAATATATAACTATACAATTAACTAAAACTCCGCTAAGTTTTTAAAGTTATTACCAAAGGGCTTTACGCACCTGCCCCTATGTTTCAACACTAGCTTGGACTTTTTGGATTCCCAACGTCTTTGCCGCTGGCATCACCGACGAGTAAACAGCTGTATGGTGCAGTGTAATTCATGTTTGGCTTGCTGTATCTATTAAATTTTTGGCTGGCTGTATCTATTACATGTTTGGCTTGCTGTATCTATTACATGTTTGGCTTGCTGTATCTATTACATTTTTGGCTTGCTGTATCTTTTCCCAAATTTAAAGGTACAGTTGCTTGTGAGTGTGTTACGTTCTTCTTTCAAGATACAAGGCGGTGGGCTCTGCTGCTGGATTTTTCAGTCCTCAAAGATTGCCATAACCATGTAGGAATAGTTATCTCTTTTCAATAGTAGCATGGTTCATAATATATACTTTTTTATCACATAATGTACTGTATTATCCAGTGAATATAACATGTCATATTTTTTTGCATATTAACCCATGTAATATGACCTATCAGCCCTGTGATTGGTTGTACTGTATCTATTACCTTACTGTATCTATTACCTTACTGTATCTATTACCTTACTGTATCTATTACCATACTGTATCTATTACCTTACTGTACATGTATCTATTACCTTACTGTATCTATTACCTTACTGTACATGTATCTATTACCTTACTGTATATATTACCTTACTGTATCTATTACCTTACTGTATCTATTACCTTACTGTATCTATTACCTTACTGTATCTATTACCTTACTGTATCTATTACCTTACTGTATCTATTACCTTACTGTATCTATTACCTTACTGTATCTATTACCTTACTGTATCTATTACCTTACTGTATCTATTACCTTACTGTATCTATTACCTTACTGTATCTATTACCTTACTGTATCTATTACCTTACTGTATCTATTACCTTACTGTATCTATTACCTTACTGTATCTATTACCTTACTGTATCTATTACCTTACTGTATCTATTACCTTACTGTATCTATTACCTTACTGTATCTATTACCTTACTGTATCTATTACCTTACTGTATCTATTACCTTACTGTATCTATTACCTTACTGTATCTATTACCTTACTGTATCTATTACCTTACTGTATCTATTACCTTACTGTATCTATTACCTTACTGTATCTATTACCTTACTGTATCTATTACCTTACTGTACATGTATCTATTACCTTACAGTATTTATTACCTTACAGTATGTATTACCTTACTGTATCTATTACCTTACAGTATCTATTACCTTACAGTATCTATTACCTTACTGTATCTATTACCTTACTGTACATGTATATATTACCTTACAGTATCTATTACCTTACAGTATATATTACCTTACTGTATCTATTACCTTACAGTATCTATTACATTACTGTATCAATTACCTTACAGTATCTATTACCTTACTGTATCTATTACCTTACTGTACATGTATCTATTACCTTACTGTATCTATTACCTTACAGTATCTATTACCTTACAGTATCTATTACCTTACAGTATCTATAACCTTACAGTATCTTTACCTTACAGTATCTATTACCTTACAGTATCTATTACCTTACTGTATCTATTACCTTACTGTACATGTATCTATTACCTTACTGTATCTATTACCTTACTGTATCTATTACCTTACAGTATCTATTACCTTACTGTATCTATTACCTTACTGTACATGTATCTATTACCTTACAGTATCTATTACCTTACTGTATCTATTACCTTACTGTATCTATTACCTTACTGTATATATTACCTTACTGTATCTATTACATTACTGTATCTATTACATTACTGTATCTATTACCTTACTGTATCTATTACCATACATGTGTGTGTTACGTTCATCATTCTAATTTCTACTTAAGTGAAGCATTTCCTTCCTGCGTATGGGGAGTAGAAAAATCCCCGTTTAAAATATGTCTGGTCGATTGAGTTCTCCGATAGACCGTTTAGTAATCCGTTAACACTCGGCTTCTTGATCGATAAACGCTTACACAGAAGGGCGAGGTTAATTTTTTTTTGAAGTATGGCTTTTAACAGGCGACCGCCAGAAATGATTGACACAGTTATGCACATCAACTACAACAGACGTGATTGGTTTATATCTAAAGGCGATTTGTGCAATCTAGCGGAACAATCTCTATTCCATCTCCTTTTTAACTAATTTTAAAACCACAAATTCTCAATCGAAGTTGAATTAGAGTCATGAGCTAGTCTGGTGTGGTTCGATTTCACTCCCACGCTCTACATCATTAATCAACTACTCAAAACGACATCTCCATTCGCTTTGTATAAATAAGATCAGATGATCTTAGCAGTTTAATGAAGAATAGTGGCAAGTGTTCTATAGATCAACTACACGAAAAAATTGCAAGCATTTCCTCATGTGAAAATATGCAAGATACAAAATCAGATAAAAATTATGTTTATCAAATAGACAAAAACATGCTAACGTGATCTCGCACTGAAGTGTAAGCTATTACGTATTTTACCGTTTTAATGTTGTTTTTATTTCTGGTTTAACATCGCGGTAAAGCGATTATATCATCGCGTTATAACATCGCGGTAAAGCGATTATATCATCGCGTTATAACATCGCGTTATAACATCGCGGTAAAGCGATTATATCATCGCGTTATATGTCTATGGGCACTATAATCCATCTATATGGGGAAGAGAAATGTTCAATCCATATATTTCCAAGTTCACGTTAAAAAATGGTACGATATATTAAACGTTTATCTGTTTAAGCTTAGCATTTTCAACAGTCCAAAGTCCGTGTCTTTGAAAATGGTGGCAGTGTTTCTAAATATTAATAAACAAAAAAATTAGTACATCATCATTCTGAGATCTGTAGGTCTTCGTGTTCGTTTTACATATAAAGGTTTTAGGTGAAGGTAAAAAAACACCTATCATTTTATGTTAGTCGTATGAATTAGATCAATAAAACACAATTCTTCTTAGACAAGTCGCTTCCCCTCCCTCAGTTAACGTTGGTCATATAGATCGATTTCATTTTATTATGACATCAACTTTGTGGTGCCAGTGGTGGGATTAAGTGTGACGTTTTTATTTTTTGTCCGTGTGTAAAGTATTGCATTATTATGTAGGGTTTATTGACCAATCACTGTCTCTGTTACACACACACAATATGTATTTGGATGTATATATACTTACAGGCCGGGACATACCAAAGTCCTTAAAAATGGTAATTGTTATTCCCTGCTTAACGTTTAGCATTTAGGGGAATGGCAACAACTGGTTTACCCGTTGTCAGTATAATGTAACCGGGCGGAATGCTGTGCTGGGTGCCTTGGACATGGTATTTCAGTGAGATAGCACTATAAAGTCGGCATCAGATCCGCGCAATCACAAGGAGGCAATCACGCCAACATACCATATCTCCTGCATACACACACGCAAGCACGCATACACTACACATATGGAGGCACGTCCTTAAATGACCTTAGTTGCTAATAGGACGTTAAACAAAATTAAACTAAACTAAATTAAACTTTCTAAGTTTTTGGATAGTTGTAATCATCTGAAAAATATAAGCGATTATTTGACACACATGTGTTATTTTCTTACAGGCGGTCCTTATGAAGGATACTGGATAGGAGGATCGGATATCCGGACTGAGGGAGTATGGGAATGGTATGAAACTGGCAAGCAGCTTGGACCGGTATTCTGGCACCAAAGCGAACCAAACAGTTTCCAAGGGGATCAGGACTGCCTTCAGCTATTCGTTCACCATGCTTTCCAATGGGATGATGAAGTGTGTACGCATGAGAGACATTATGTGTGTGAAAAATCTGCCAAATTTGACTGAAACAACATATATATGCATACACACTTATTTCCCGTGATTTCTATGAAAACGCCAGTGTTTCATGCATGCTTTCTGAAGCGTATAAAACCATGCTTAGGCGACGCATTGCCCTAAAGAATTAGAAATGAGACTCGATAATCAAGCCACATTTTCGAACCAATGAACAGTTGCTGTAAAGTAAGACGAATGGATAACTTTAAAATTTTGAATAGGTCCGTCTAACCCGTTAAAGATGAGCCGAATAGTATTACAAACTGGTAAATGTTGGCTGGATTAATAAGGCTTGATTGCAGCTTTCATAAGTTCGTTTAAAGTACATATTATTATCAAACCAAGTGATAACAGATATTCTTGAAATAGTATCGTATGACTACAAAGCGTGTATATTTACCCCCAACCCCCACCCATTCCAAACCCCAGCCACCATATTTACCCCCAACCCCCACCCATTCCAAACCCCCAGCCACCAGCCCCTATACCCACTTAACCCATTTTGCAAATAGTATAATAGTATGGGTTATTTCATCCCATCAGAATATCCTCTTTTAGCATTCCTTATGTCATACATGGTAATATAACTCACCTTAGCATAACATATAATTTAGATAAGTATTAGTATTTTTCAATGGTATAAATTATATTTTCATAGATGATATATACATTTACCCAAGCATAACGGATATTTTAAATCCAAATCTGGCATCCTTTCTTGGGGGCGTCTCTATAAATATGAGTAAGTATTATTTATTTCAGTTACACCGCAGAGAGACATAATATAACAGTTTGCAAATTATGTTGATAAGTGTGACGTCATGGACATTTGTGCTAGAACTGGTCCCTGTAAAGAGCTGTTATATATAATTCGATCTGACTAAAGATATATAAAATTTCTCTGAGGCTGATGTTTTTTTAGATCAAGCAGCGACGTCATTTACATGAAAAGGCATAATGTGTAATACACCTGAAATGTCATAGTTAGTTTTTATATATCAAAACTGCATTCCAAAAATCATCATAAAAACACACACATGCATCCATCTGGGCTTAAAAAAAGTGCTCACTATGAGTTAAAATATTTCTAACATTTAGTTAAATTCTAGCTGCCGTACAAATACGATAGATATACATCTGTATACACATGCATGGGAGTCTCATTAGACATAAATGGTCTTAGTCTACAAATACCACCAATCGTTTTCGTCAACTTTTTACATACAGATTATACATGTTCTTTCCACATTATCTATAAAAACACCTAAATGTTTGACACAACTCGTTCGTTGCATCGTCATTCTTGCAATTCGTTTGGCAAAGTAACCGCAAAATACAACATTAAATAGAATATTTAGAAATAAAAGTCTAATATGAAGATATAAATGCGTTACCAGTCGTTAAAATCTTACACAAATGGGTATAACCTATTGTCATTGTGACCAGACAAAGAGTCACTGGCCTGTGACATTATACACCTGTGATGACTATACGTGTAATGTATCATTGTATCGTACATCAGACCGTCGGGTCAGTGTACAGGCCACTGGTAAGCTGCAGGGCGTATACACTCAGCGCTAATTTCTCCTCATTGTATCACATCGACTCAACCAGAACTTTTTAAATGAGTAAAAACATCCTATTTCTCGACGACTGATCGGAATAAAATTCTTTCAAATATTTTCTTTTAAACCACAGTAACAATTGTTGACAACGTGATTTTCGTGGAAAGATATTTTTATCAATTCAATACATTTCATTTTTCCCGTCAAATATTACTGTATACTGTAATACATATATATATTTCGCGAGATATTAATTTACGCGTTCATTCATGGTGAGACCGATGCATGATCTTAAAGCTTCGATGAAAATCATTTTCCGTAGGAGATACTAATTACCATAGCACCTGTCAATCGCGTATTCAGTGTCATTTAGCAAAATAAACTCAAACCGTGTATTCAACACTGTGTATTTTCGTATTTTAAAATTTTATAGTGTACCCTTTGTAGTTTATAAAAACGTTGCCATTGTTTAGGGGATTGACGGTCACTAATAGGTCCATAAGGTAAAGCTACGTCATCAAATGGGGGTGACTGAGGCACAATGACAAATGAAAGATTGTAAAAGAACAATTGTATATTTTCTATAGGGTAAATAAAAAATACACATTCCCAATACAGCCAAACTGTTGTTGTAAATAAGCAATTACCTTTGTTCGTATTATCACCAATTCTATGTTATATTTTACTTGTCGTTCTTGTTTTAACGGTCGTGTAATAACACAACATGGCGTATAAAGTCTAGTTACTGCCACGTCTCTACAAACAAGTTATACGACCACGTGTTGATATATAGATATATTGTACTTATGATTTTTCATATACGTCTTAACAGTTTACTTGTTGATTTTCAAATATTTAATATCTTTTTTTTTATATTTCGTTTTCCCGTTAAATAGAAACGACACAAATCTTTCGTTTTGTTTTAAGAACAGTTTTGACTTTCCAAAGAAGCATTTCTTTTCTGTTGTTATTTAATTCTATTTCACTTGCATAAATATTACTTAAATTAGACGCTGTGAATCCAAAGATAGCCAATATGTGAAGGTCGAATACAAATCGCTTTCGATATTTGTCGAATTAGTTTTCATAGTCAAACCTGTTTTCAGAAACCATCTGCAGCAAGTCATTAAAATAGGCTCTTATTGATGTGGTGTCATAATAGAGTTCAGTAAACAAGAAAATCACTACACAGGAGAGTGCTAACACTTGACACAGGTGGTCTCAAAAGGGAGGTTATCCTTCTAGCAGGATTGACGGTTCATACGAACTATGATAATGTTCTGTAGACTTTATATTTATTGAATACTTCTGTGCATAACTTGTTTATGAATACTTCACATTAGTTACTGATTTAATTGTTATATGTGCATTTGCTTCATGATATGTATTGCTATTTTATTGTTTCAATAAATGTTTTAAAATACCACCAGGTCTTCGTGTCAGGATCGATAACTCTTAGTAAACATAGGTCTCCTTGACCACAACAAGTTTAAAGGACTGCTTTACCGAATTTATTTGAATTTATTTCTCGCAATTTGAACAAGATGAACAGCACTTATTATCGCTACTGGTTTTGTATGTGTATAAAATACAAAATACACGTAAAAGGTTCAGTAGAAAAGTAAAGAAAATCTTCTGTAAGATTTCTCTTTGTCAGGCAGAATGAATGCAACTGCAATCGAGAGAAGCTTCAACAGATGGTATGATGATTCGACAGGCAAAATTCGAAGAAAATAAAAGCCAGATATGTTACCTGTACAAAATGGAACGAGGCTGAATCAGCACCAAGTTTGATATTAAAAGAATATGTAATTTTAGGCGATCAAATAGGTCATAACAATCATGTAAGCATAAATGAATGGTAACCATGACTATCAAGTAATTTATTTCATAAAAAGAGGACGTTTGAACAGGTAATGTATGAGGAACAAGTTATGTTACAGGATTTCAAGAAATTTAAATTATATACAATTATTCAAAAATATTGAACATTAGCGATCAAAATACTATCTAATTAAAGGGTGTTATGATAATAAAATAAGTATCCGGTTGAAACAGTTAAACCGGTTGAACCTGTAAAGAAAGCGACAGGCACAGATCTGAACCGAGGCTGACCTCAGGAAAATTCGGCACATGTAGATTGAAGGGTCCAGACGTACATACCTGACCGAAACTAAAATGCTTACTATTGCTAGTTTGCGTTTATTTCTTCCTAAAACATTGTCAAGACACATGTAATTTTTATGATACGTTATGTAATACAGTGGACGCGCGTGAAAGAAGGGCATACTATTTTTGATATAATGTTTTTTTATTTCCGAAACTGCATTTTTAGCTCTGCTTATCGTGGAATATTTCTGCGCCACACGTACCGTTTCCACCGGGATACGCGAATGTAGCCCTAGTAAGTAAAACATAAGCATGCAAATATTTGTTTTATTTGGTGTCGCGTCTCAATCTTGAATATTATTGATAAATGGCCATAGGATCACTCAATGTTTATTTTGTTCGACTTTTTGCATCAATTTCTAAACAGATACCGGAGTTTAATTGTTATCATATAATTTGGTTGTCTCCCTTTAACTGTTTGTCTCCTTTCATTTTCCATTTTAAGTCCGCTACGTGGTTTGCATATAACTAAGCTTTCAAAAAACTATTATTATTCAATTACAATAATCCTATATTGTAATATCCCGGTACATGTAATGCCCTAGTTCAGTCGATCGCCTCTATATTTTATTTGATGATATTACTGGTCTGTACTTTTTATGACATCACTTCTTAGATTGTTTCAGCCCTAAGTCGCCCATATTTTGTAATATAAGTACTTTATTCGTCGGCTCAATGTTATACATAACACATCTCCCAGGCTGTCGTTCTTTACACGAGTGGTGTGAGGATCGACAACTCTGGGTAGAGATTGATCCTCCGGCTATATCGAGTGTGTCGTTTACTATCATTATTGTTTCATCATGACTGTTTCGGTTGCCTCCCTTAATGCATCAAATTCTTTAGTTGTCTCCTTTAAATAAATTGTATGGTATATATTTAGTAATCTCCCTTAATCTTATCACTAAATTTATCGTTTAGTTTGTCAATATCGTTAACATATTTCATAATTAACATTTTTAGTTTTTCAAGCCAACAATGCATGGCTAAAAAATCGAACTTGATAATTATTCAATTTCAAATGTAAAGAAAGAGATTTTGATGCAAAGTTTATTGATATTTATTCGTTTTATACAACATCATTATCAGATCAATCAGAAATATCATTTAAAACAAAAAGCGCCATTTACATACGTTTTGTTGTTGTAAGGTTATCACATATAAACGAAGAGTTGAAGAATGTATAGATTTGGTAAAATTGAATTATTGCTATGTATTTAGAGAATATTAAACAATATAAATCATATCTCATACACGTATCGTAAAGTATGTATAACAACGAGTTTCAGTGATAACAATATTTTTTTTTCTGACAAGAAAAATAATGGAAGTAGAGCAAATATTGCAAGAAACACATGTACCGTTCTAGCGCTACATTGAACTGGATTGGCCCGTGTAGTAATGTTCCAGAGCTACATTGAACTGGATTGACGAGTGTAGGGTACATGTTGGTCAAGAGCTACATTGAACTGGATTGGCCTGTGTAGTATTAGTCCAGGGCTACATTAAACTTGATTGGCCAGTGTAGTGTTGTTCCAGAGCCTCATTGAACTGGACTGGTCTGTGTAGTGTACATGTTGGTCCAGAGCTACATTGAACAGGATTGGCCTGTGTAGTGTAAATGTTGGTCTAGAGCTACACTAAACTGGATTGGCCAGGGTAGTGTTGTTCCAGAGCTAAATTGAACAGGACTGGTCTGTGTAGTGTACATGTTGATCTAAAGCTACATTAAACTGAATTGGCCTGTGTAGTGTTGTTCCAGAGCTTCATTGAACTGGATTGGCCTGTGTTGTGTTGTTCCAGAGCTACATTGAACAGGATTGGCCTGTGTAGTGTAAATGTTGGTCTAGAGCTACACTAAACTGGATTGGCCAGGGTAGTGTTGTTCCAGAGCTAAATTGAACAGGACTGGTCTGTGTAGTGTACATGTTGATCTAATGTACCGTTCTAGCGCTACATTGAACTGGATTGGCCTGTACAGTGTTAGTCCAGAGCTACATTGTACATAATTGACCTGTGTAGTGTTCATGTTGGTCAAGAGCTACATTGAGTGACCTGTGTAGTGTTAGTCCAGAGCTACATTGTACATAATTGACCTGTGTAGTGTTCATGTTGGTCAAGAGCTACATTGAGCTTTATTGACCTGTGTAGTGATGTTTCAGAGCTACATTGAACTGGATGTTCCAGAGCTACAATGAACTGGACTGGTCCGTGTCGTGTACTTGTTGGTCCAGAGCTACGAACTACATTGTACAGAATTGACCGGTGCTGTGTGCATGTTGGTCAAGAGCGACATTGAACTGGATTGACCTGTGTAGTAATGTTACAGACCTACATTGAACTGGATTGACCTGGGTAGTGATGTTCCAGAGCTACATTGAACTGGACTGGTCTGTATAGTGATGCTCCAGGGCTACATTGAACTGGATTGACCTGTCTATTGATGTTCCAGAGCTACATTGAACAGGACTGGTCTGTGTAGTGTACATCTTGGTCTAGAGCTACATTAAACTGGATTGGCCAGTGAAGTGTTGTTCCAGAGCTACATTGAACTGGACTGGTTTGTGTGGTGTACATGTTGGTCTAGAGCTACATTAAACTGGCTTGGCCAGTGTAGTGTTGTTCCAGAGCTAAATTGAACAGGACTGGTCTGTGTAGTGTACATGTTGATCTAATGTACCGTTCTAGCGCTACATTGAACTGGATTGGCCTGTACAGTGTACTGGACTGGTCTGTGTAGTGTACATGTTGATCTAGAGCTACATTGAACTGGATTCGCCTGTACAGTGTTAGTCCAGAGCTACTTTGAAGTGGTTGACCTGTGTAGTGTTAGTCTAGAGCTACAATGTACATAATTGACCTGTGTAGTGTTCATGTTGGTCAAGAGCTACATTGAACTGGATTGGACTATGTAGTGTTGGTCTAGTGCTACATTGAACTGGATTGGCCTGTACAGTGTTGGTCCAGAGCTACATTGAACAGGATTGGCCTGTGTAGTGTAAATGTTGGTCTAGAGCTACACTAAACTGGATTGGCCAGGGTAGTGTTGTTCCAGAGCTAAATTGAACAGGACTGGTCTGTGTAGTGTACATCTTGGTCTAGAGCTACATTAAACTGGCTTGGCCAGTGTAGTGTTGTTCCAGAGCCTCATTGAACTGGACTGGTCTGTGTCGTGTCCTTGTTGGGGCAGAGCTACATTGAACTGGATTGGACTATGTAGTGTTGGTCTAGTGCTACATTGAACTGGATTGGCCTGGGTAGTGTTGTTCTAGAGCTACATTGAACTGGATTGGCCTGGGTAGTGTTGTTCTAGAGCTACATTGAACTGGATTCGCCTGTACAGTGTTAGTCCAGAGCTACATTGTACATAATTGACCTGTGTAGTGTCCATGTTGGTCAAGAGCTACATTGAGCTTTATTGACCTGTGTAGTGATGTTTCAGAGCTACATTGAACTGGATGTTCCAGAGCTACAATGAACTGGATTGGCCTGTGTAGTGCTGTTCCAGAGCTACATTGAACAGGACTGGTCTGTGTAGTGTACATCTTGGTCTAGAGCTACATTAAACTGGATTTGCCTGTGTAGTGTTGGTTCAGAGCTACATTGAACTGGACTGGTTTGTGTAGTGTACATGTTGGGCTACAGCTACATTAAACTGGATTTGCCTGTGTAGTGTTGGTTCAGAGCTACATTGAACTGGACTGGTCTGTATAGTGATGCTCCAGGGCTACATTGAACTGGATTGACCTGGGTAGTGATGTTCCAGAGCTACATTGAACTGGATTAACCTGTGTAGTGATGTTCCAGAACTACATTGTACAGAATTGACCGGTGCTGTGTGCATGTTGGTCAAGAGCGACATTGAACTGGATTGACCTGTGTATTGATGTTCCAGGGCTACATTGAACTGGACTGGTCCGTGTCGTGTACTTGTTGGTCCAGAGCTACGAACTACATTGTACAGAATTGACCGGTGCTGTGTGCATGTTGGTCAAGAGCGACATTGAACTGGATTGACCTGTGTAGTAATGTTACAGACCTACATTGAACTGGATTGACCTGTCTATTGATGTTCCAGAGCTACATTGAACAGGACTGGTCTGTGTAGTGTACATCTTGGTCTAGAGCTACATTAAACTGGCTTGGCCAGTGTAGTGTTGTTCCAGAGCCTCATTGAAATGGACTGGTCTGTGTAGTGTACATGTTGATCTAGAGCTACATTAAACTGAATTGGCCCGTGTAGTGTTGTTC